GCCCCGCCTGCGGCCGAGGGACGCGGTGAGGGGCGCCGCCGGGCTGGACAGGCGTCGCTCGGGTCTGGCGGCTGGCGGCGCAGGGCCGCCACAGGGTGCGTCCCGGGGTGACAGGTGCTGGGAGTCTCTGGGGGAGTTTGGAGGCGAGGCCGCGGGCCCTGCCCTGCCCTGCGAGCGCGGGTGGCCGAGGGGCTTCGCGACGTGCCCGGGTCCTCGCCCTCCGCGAGGTACCGAGTTGGCACTGGCCGGCGGCGCCCGCCCCTCCGCTTCGCTTTGTTCAGTGGCCTCGTACTTCCAAGGCAGCTGGAGTGGGTTACCTTCTCCCAGTAGGAGTTGAGATCAGAGGCTTCCCTAGCTGGGTAGGCGTCCAGTGGTCACTCCGAAAAGTGCCTCTGCATCTTTGTGATCCAGACTTGTTTACGTTTGGCCTAATCTCATAAAAATACGTAAAACATTTTATGCGAGCTGCCATCACCCAAAATAAACACCAAGCCTGACACACGCACTTCTCTGGGCACTCTTATACAGTCTGTTTTGGGCAGTTTCTCTTGAAAGGTTCGAGCTCCCACCTGCTCCCCTCGCCCCTTAATTCATTAACAACTTTCTTACTACCTCATCACGTGAAAATTAGATCTATTTAGGTCCTATCAAATGTTCTAGCTCCGAGGTACTGCTAACCTTATACAAGTTGTATGATTTCTCTAAGCCTGAGTATTGTATGTGTAACATGAAAGCTTTGAACTGGGTCATCCTTTAGCCCTCCGCCTTTTAATGCCTCTGAATTCCATGTCCCTTATACGCTCCACCTCTTACATCTCTCTCTCTGAAGGAAGGGCATTTAGTGTGGAGGTTCAAGTCTTTCACTAAAGCAGCCTGCTTTGAAAAGCTGGTAATTTCAGAACTGTCTCTTCCTTGGAAAAACTGACATTTTTCTCCTTGTGATAGCAGCAACAGCAAGCAAGCAGCAGCAACCCTTGGAGAGATGCTAAGTTTTGCTTGACTTCTACAGTGACAAATACCTTGAAGAAGTTGGTACTTCTGGCCTATGCTGCCATCATCCTACCACTCCCCAAGACAACCCAGGCTGGACAGGAGTGCCTCCCTCTTTTTTCCTCTTTGGTCATTCATATCAGTATTTGACTGTTTATTTCCAAATTTAACAAACCCCACCCCCAGATCTTCATATTTTGCTTCTTAGCTGCTCTTGAAGGTGAATGAAATCATGGTTTTATTTATTTATTTATTTATTTATTTATTTTTATGTGTTTGAGTTTTGCCTGCATGTATCCTAAGTGGACCTGTGCATGCAATGCCTGTGGAGGCCAGAAGAGGGCGTTGGGACTATTGTTAGTCTCCATTTAGGTGTTGGGAACTGAACCCTGATGTTTTGCAAGAGCAATCAATGCTCTTAACTGCTGAGCGGTCTCTTCACCCCTAAGTCTTGGTTTTAAAGAGCATTTTTGTGTGATTTTTGTTGATGTGCGAAAGTGTTTAAGTTCTTGTATTTATCTCCCATTTGGCATAGGTACACAACTGAGGGTTCGTTGAGTAATTCAGTAAATAGTTATAAAGGACTGAGAGCAATGAGTGCTTACAGAGCTTACATGCTGATAGGCAGTAAATATGTTAGGGTGGTGAGTGCTGTTGAGAAGAAAATAATGTGAAGGGATATATAGACAGTGCTAGTGTGGGCAGTGCTATTTTATATAGGATAGTCAGGGTGACCTTTGACCAGAGTGTGGATATCTGAAAAGCATAAAAAGGGAGAAGAGTAGAGACAAAGGCTGTGTAGTGAAACTGTGTTTATTGTGTTTCAAGAACACCAAGGAGACAAGAGTAATCGTCCTGCTAACATTTAGAATTTATTTTCTAGGGAAACCATTTGTACGAGTAGCCTTTGAATTTTTTTGTTGTTGTTTTTTTTGTTTTTTTTTGAGACAGGGTCTCCCTGTAGCCCCAGCTGTCCTGGAACTCACTATGTAGACCAGGCTGACCTTGAACTCACAGAGATCCGCCTGCCTCTGCCTCCCAAGTGCTGGGATTAAAGGTGTGCGCCACCACGCCCAGCAATTTTTTTGTTTTTATAATCACAGAATTTTCCAACTATACACTAAAAAGTAGGGAGTATAAAAAATGCTTATGTACATTACTTCATCAGTAATCAACATTTTGCAAAATGTATTTCATGTATTTTCCCACTTTATTTGGTGCTGAAGTAGAATTTATTTATTTTATTTATTTATTTTTTTTGGTCTTTTTGAGACAGAGTCTCCCTGTAGCCCCAGCTGTCCTGGAACTCACTGTGTAGACCAGGCTGGCCTTGAGCTCACAGAGATCCGCCTGCTTCTGCCTCCCAGTGCTGGGATTAAAGGCGTGCACCACCACGCCTGGCCATAGTAGAGCTTTTTAAAAAATATTTTATTATTTTCATTTTATGTGAATGAGTCTATTGCCTACAAGTGTGTAAGTGCACCCGCGTTGTGCAGTGCCCGAGGAGGTCAGAAGAAGGCATCGAATTCCCCTGAAACTGGAGTTATGGACGGTTGTTAGCCACCATGTGGGTGCTAGGAATCGAACCCGGGTCCTCTGCAAGAGCAGTCAGTGCTCTTAACCACTGAGCCATCTCTCTAGCCCCATAGTAGAGCTTTTAACAGATTTAATACTTAGGACTAATCCATATGAGATTAAATTAATTGGTAAAGGGGTAGGGCTGTGTGCAGGTCTGTGTTGAAAGCTCTCCTGGCAATAGTAATATATAACCATGTTTGTGAGGCACCAATCTAGAGAGTAGCACAAAGTTTTTTGAGCCTGCTGTTAGGGTAGCTTTGTCAGTCATCCTCTGCCATTAAAGCCTTCATAATTTGACAGCTGAGTCCATCCAGTCCCGTGTCATTCTCCTCCTGCCCCCATATGTGGCAGCTTCAGTGGAGATAGAAATTGCCTTGATATAGAATGGAAATCTTCAGGGTTAGAAGCAAGGGAGTGAGGGGAAAGTTAGGAGCTAGTGTTTTTCTGAGCACATGTTGGGTCATTTTAAATTTTTTTGGAGGGTAGGTTCCAAGAGGACCCCAGAACGTTATTTTGGCCGTGACATCTCACTATATTTACCAGAGCATCTTCACTGTTGTTGAGAACTTTGTAGATTAGGTATGGTTGTTATCTAGTGGCTTCTAATAACATTGTTTTGACTTTAAAAAATACTTATTTATATGTTTGTGTATATTTGTGTTTGTATGCACACATGTGTACAAGTGCTCACGGAGACCAGAAGAGAGGGTATTGGATTCCTGGAGCTGGAGTTACAGGTGATTGTGCTCCACCTGGTATGGGTGCTGGAAACTGAACTCAGGTCCTCTGCAAGAGCAGCAAGCACTTTTAACTGCTAAGCCATTTCTCCAGTCAGCTTGAATTTGTTTTTGAGACAGGATCTTCATAGTAGTCCAGACTGGCATCAAACTTGTGATCCTGAACTCCCTGAACTTCCCCCTCCCCTCCCCCTAGCACTGAGATTATAGATGTGCACCACCAAGGCCAGCTAATGATAGTTTTTTGTTATGTTCTATTTATTTTATTTCTATTTTTTTGTATGAGTGTTTTTCTTGCATTTCTATGTGCATCCTTGTCATGCAGTGCCCATCGTACCCAGAAGAGGGCGTCAGATCCCTTGGAACTGGAGTTTTGAATAGTTGTTAGCCACCATCTGGGTGCTGGGAACTGAATCCAGGTCTTCTGCAAGAGTAGCCAGTGCTCTTAACTGATGGGCCATCTCTCCAGCCCCAGTATTGATGTTTTAGAAGCAATAGTTGGGGGCTAGGAGGCAGGCTTAGTGGATACAGTGTCTGCCATGCAAGTATGAGGACCAGAGTTTGGAATCCCAGAGCGCACATGAATGCAGGGTGGGGGTGGTAGCCTGCCTGTAATTCCAGCTCTTGAGAAGGCAGGGATGGGGTCTTCTGAGCAAGCTGGCTAGCTAAATTAGCCTGAATCATGGAGATCTAGATTTAGCTGAGAGACCAATAAGTTGGAGAGTGATCAAGAAAGACTCCTAATGTCAGCCTTCAGTCTCCACACGTTTGTGCACATGTACCTGCACATACACTTTTCCCACACATGAGAAGATTCACACACACACCACATACATGTGAAAAAAAAAGAAGTGATAATGGCCTAATAAGGAAAACTAGGAATAGAGTCTGGAAAGAATGTAGTTCTGTTTTTTGTTTTTGTTTTTTGGGGGGAGAGTTGTTTGTTTTGTTTTGTATTTTGAGACAAGGTCTCTCAGTAACCCCAGCTGACCTGGAACTTGCTTTGTAGACTTAGAGATCTGCCTGCCTCTGCTTCCCAAGTGGTGGGATTAAAGTGTGTGCCACACTCCTGGCCCTTGGTTCTGGTTTTTAATGCTGGTGAGGGTTGGTACTGTGTAAACTGTTCAGAATGAACTGATTTAGACAGAATAATATAAGCAGCTGGTCCTGCTACTGTTATTTTTGACTTTGGGGCTCTTGTAGCCTTATGGACTAGAACGGATACTATACTCCAATAGCAACTCTTGAGTTTGAATGGAACAGAAGTATCTTACATTTGTAGAGTGCTTTCAGGGTTGATTTAAAAACTACAAAAAGTGCTTATGTATATGCATGCAAGTATGTCTCTTGTGTATATGACACCCAGTTAGTAAATGGTGATGAAACCAACTTTTACCTACTTTCCACAGGACAGTGACTTGTTACCACCTCAGCAGCATAGCCTGCCATCCCCAGCAGATCTCCAGTTGCCTATGATACCACCCCGTCCTTTGTTTCACCTTGTGGTCTCCTAAATGCTCATCTCGTTAGCCTGGGTTTATTTGGTGGTATGGAGGGATGCTGCCTAGCACTGACCTGAGAGTGTGTATGACCCACTGACCCAATGGTGAGAACTGATTCCCCACATCTCCCAATTAATCATCCAACAGATAGATAAGACAAAGAGCAGACCTCACCTTGTCCTGGTATTTCCCTTCTTGCACTTTTGGAAGTATTTAAAATATGCCTATTTGAAATTGGAGGAGTGTAGAAACAGTCATATTTGAGTTGTGTGTGTAGGTGGGTTTTCCTGGGAGACTTAAATACTCCTGGAAATAGGAGTGGCGAAAGTTGGGTGTAGTGTTTCACACCTACAAAGCCTGCACTTGGGAGGCTGAGGCAGATGAATTGCTTCAAGTTCCACACCAGCCTGGGCTACAGAGTGAGACCCTGCCTCAAAAACAACAAAAGGAGGGGTGATGAGACAAGAGAGCTTAGGTATGTTTTCTTCTGTTCCACCAAGTCAGAGCTAGGCTATCAATATGATCAGATTCAGGAAGAGACACCTTCCTGAAATGAAAGGTGTAAAAGGATTAAGGCCTCAGTTATTCTGTCATGAGAGACAAAGATCTGCTTCCCATCCTGTTGTCCCACTCTATTCCCTGAGATAACAGGAGCCTAACAAAGGATTGTATCCTCATTTTTTATCACTAGGACATCAAAGGCCAGTTCTGGAATGATGATGATTCAGAAGGAGATAATGAGTCAGAGGAATTTCTCTATGGAGTTCAGGTAAGACTGCCCACCCCCAAAACTTAGTGTTGGATGGTTCAGATTTTGTATGCTGGATACAGCAGAGATGAAATGAGAGTATAATGGTATGATCTGATAGCAATCTTGCCAGCTGATTGAGTGTCCTTCCTCATGGCCTGGGACTTGTGCTTATCCCACAGCAAACTACATCCTCTACATGAGGACTACCCATGTGTTAGTTAGAAATAATTATTTTCTTTCTTTCATTAGCTAATGAGAGTCATTTTATTCATTAAGATCAAGGGTTGTTTGTTTTTGGGGGTTTTTTTGTTTTGTTTTTTTTTGGCTTTTTGATACCGGATCTCCCTGTAGCCACAGCAGACCTGGAACTCCCTATGGAGAGCAGGCTGGCCTCAATCTAACAGAGATCCACCTGCCTCTGCCTCCCAAGTGCTAGAATTAAAGGCATGTGCCACCACACCTGGCTCGGGATCAAGTTTTAAAAGACTCTTAGAGATTGCTTACTATCATTGCTATGCATAGCACAATTCTGAGCAAAACTGTTAGATTCCCAGGATGCTCTTAGATAGAACTCTTCTGAGTTTTCATAGACGGCAAAGTCTGAGAGAAACAGCTGGAGATTGAGCTCCTCAAGCATAGCCTGAATTTGGTCTGTTGAAACTTTTAAGAGTGGCATGTAAGAGATTTGCCCAATGAAATTGGTAGCTAGGGTTACCACCAATAACCTGTACTGCTGCAGTTTGGTTTACCCTGTTCCTCCTCTCTCTCTCTCTCTCTCTCTCTCTCTCTAGGATGACTTGTCTCCGCTTGGCTGCACTGACAGTGTCTGCTCGAAGTACTGTTACCTTCCCAGAGTTTCCCCTCTCCCCTCTCTCCCTCCCCCTCCCTCCCCCTTCCCCTCTCTTTCTCTCCTTCCCTCCCTCCTTCTCTCCCTCTTCCTCCCTCCTGTCTTCCTTCCCTCCCTCTCTCCCTCCTTCCTTCCCCTTTGTCTATCTCTATCTACCTCCACTACCTCCAACATTTTTACTGCTCTATCAGGGGAGCTGTGCAGCTGACCTGTATAGACACCCACAGCTTGATGCAGACATTGAAGCCGTGAAGGAGATCTACAGTGAGAACTCCGTGTCCATCAGGTGGGACTCTGCTTCAGGGGTGGCAGGAGAGCAAGGTGCTCCTTTCTGAATTGTTTAAAAAAAAAAAACCTAGGGGATTTTTCTTCTGATGGTGTGATCAGCTGATAAATTTATGAGCTTAATGATAAAGGTTGCTCAGAATACTTAAATGTGGCTAACAAGAGGGTATAGGAAGTAAAACTACTTTTCTTAGAAGTTCCCTCTTATCTTAAACCCTAGTAAACCTATAATTTGACCTTTGAGCTAAAAAGGGTTTTTCTCTGGAAAGGGCTCTGATCATGTAAGTGGCTTGATGCTTAACTAAGATCTTAAGTACTAGACTACCTTCCACCCTTTCCCCTGTCCCCAGACTCAGTCCTTCCTTCACCTTGTCTCTCTTCCCTTCTTTCTCCCTTAATGAGTCTCACCTGTGGTTGCCTGTATTTCTGTAGAGAATATGGAACTATCGATGACGTGGACATTGACCTCCACATCAACATCAGCTTCCTCGATGTAAGTGGTGCTAGTACCTGCCAACAACATGTGTAGCTGGACTTGTGGATTTTGTCATGTAGGCCAGGAGTTTTGTTCCTGAGTGCTGTGTTTGGAGCATATATTCTTCATCCCTGTCTTTCCTAGACCATCAATAGACAGTGGTGTGTACTGTCATGTGCATGTGTGTATTGTAGAGGGAGACTTCTAGTCCATGACTCTATTGTGAAGTGGAAACTATTTCCCTTATTCTTTTAGGAGGAAGTATCTACAGCTTGGAAGGTCCTCCGAACAGAACCCATTGTGTTGAGGCTGAGGTTTTCTCTCTCCCAGTACCTTGATGGACCAGGTAAAGGCAGTGCCTTTGGACAAATGGGTAATTTGGGTGTGGTCTGATCCAAAGCCCTAAGTTAACTGAAGTAGAACTAAAATTAGAAATAAGATCCTTGAGTTTAACCTATGTTTTTAGTTTTTTGTCCATGGTGTCTTCATCCCCAGTCATCTGATAACCATCCCCTAAGAGGCCTTCTTGGTTAGTGAGATTGTTTTCTCCAGTTTGAAGATATTTGTTCCCTCACTCCAATTCAACTTCCTACTTGAAGATATTTGAAATTGATTAAATAACTTCTAAGCCGGGCATGGTGGTGCACGCCTTTAATCCCAGCTCTCGGGAGGCAGAGGCAGGTGGGTCTCTGTGAGTTCAAGGCCAGCCTGGTCTACATAGTGAGTTCCAGGACAGCTTGGGCTACAGGGAGACCCTGTCTCAAAAAGACCAAAAATAAATAAATAACTTCTAGATTCTTCTTCTGTCCAAAGTTTTCGTCATCCACCACACAGGCATGTCCAACCTTCTGACATTTTGACAGAACAGTGTCGTCTAAAAACTAAACCATTGAATTACCAAAAAAAAAAGAAAAATGAAAAAATTTCTTCTTTTTAAGTAAGTTTACTTTTTTATATTTAACTGCATTCCTAATATTCTTGGCTGCAAGTTGGACATGCCTGGGAGCATCTAGCAGCTGCTATATTTAGAGTCCATAGAAGCTATTCTACTGAAGTGTGTCTTTGCACTTTATAGAGGTCAGAGAGATGTGCATATTAGGAACTTTCTCTTCTCTTTGCAGAACCATCAATTGAGGTTTTCCAACCATCAAATAAGGAAGGGTTTGGGCTGGGTCTTCAGTTGAAAAAGTAAGAACTTTGTTCTTTTTTGGTCATGGGCATATTAGGGAAAGATAGCTACATGTACATGTAGTACATGTAGCTGTGACATTACTGTGACAAAATTTCTGAGTTATTCAACTTACAAGGAAGAAAGATTTATTTTAGCTCATAGTTTAGAGTTTTCAGTCTATGGTTACAAACTCTTACATTTAGTATTTGGCAGCACACAGTACAGTATAGTAGAAGCATGTGGTAGAAGAGTTGTTTAGCTTGTAGTGTGGCAGGCAAACAATATCCCCTGGAAGGGCATGTTTCTGATGAGCTAACTTCCTTCCACTAAGGCCCTCCTAAATGTCCCACCATTTTCCAGTAGTGCCACAGGCCAGAGACTAGGCCTTTAGCACATTGATCTTTGGGGGACATTGAAGGTTCAAAGTATAGCAACAAATGTGAATAGACAAGCAAAGCTTTAAATGGAATGTTTCCTTCCAAAGATGTCTTTCTGCCAGGTGTGGTGGTACACACCTTTAATCCCAGGAGGCAGGTGGATCTCTGAGATCAAGGCCAGCCTGGTCTACATCATGAGTTCCAGGCCAGCTGGGGCTTTGGGAGCACAGAGGAAGGAGTGGCCCAGTCTAGAGGCAGTGGAGAGCTATGAGTGAAAGAATAAAAGGAAGATGATTAGTGGTTTATAGCATGGCCAAGAACTATCCATATAGACAGACTCTAAGAGTGGATAACACTTGCAGGGATTTAGTTAAACAAGATGTGTGTGGGGAAATACAGTGGTTACATTTTGATGGTAAAGTGCAGGAGGAAAGTGATAGAAATAAAAGTGTGAGAAGTAGGTTCAGATCTAGGAAGATTGCAAGTTTTTGTCCTTTAGGCAGTGGGATCATTGAAAGATTTTTTTATTACATTTTTATTTATTTACTTATTTAGTGTGTGCGGGCGTGTGTGTGTGTGTGTGTGTGTGTGTGCGCGCGCACGCATGCACATGTGTGCATTTACACATGTGTCATGGTGCAGATGTGGAAGTCAGAGGTCAAGTTGGGGGAGTTGGTTCTCCTTCTACCATGTGGGTCCCTGGGATTGAGCTCAGGTCATCAGGCTTGACAGCACATGCCTTTACCTGCTGAGCCATCTCAGTAGCCTCCATTGAAAGGTTTTAAGCAAAGAAAGGACATGGTCAGATTAAGTTTTAGAAAACCATTCTGGTCGCATACAAAAGACTAGAACTAAGTTAGTAGGCTTCTCTAAACTTTCTAGATATGAGGTGCTGAAGGCCTGAACTAAAGTGTGACTGTAGGTCACAGGATATAAAATCAGTACAACGTGACCAGTTTGGGTATATTGAATGTCATTAGAGTCAACAGGCACATGCCTTTAATCCCAGCACTTGGGAGGCAGAGGCAGGTGGAGCTCTGTGAGTTCAAGGCCAGCCTGGTCTACAGTAAGTTTCAGGTCAGCTGGGGCTACAGGGAGACCCTGCCTCAAAAAAAAAAAAAAAAAAACCCTGAAAAATTGCTCCTTATAGCCCATACGTCTAGGTAAATTGTTAAACCACCAATAGGGATATAAGAAGAGCAGGTTTCTAAGATGTGAATTTTAGACATGTTGAAAAGCAACTTTGGAATATGCAAGATGCTTACACAGTATATGAACTTGATTCTTGTAGGAGAGCTCAGATAAGCATCAGTACAGGTGGGACCTGTTACCACCTATAGATACAAGATGGCTAAAGGAGAGCATGATAAAAGTGAAAAGAAAGTAGAATCAAGGGCAAAAAATCTTTTAGCACTCCAAAAACCAGGAGGAGGGTGGACAGAAGAAGATGACGCAATAAAGCTAGGTCCAAGAAGATGAGAAGGAGAATGATGTCTAGAAGACAGTGGAATCTGGACCTACTAAAAGATGGGATGTAGCTCCTGGGGTAGAGTACTTGCCTATCTGAGATGCAGAAAATTGGAATTTGTATTGACTTTGGGACAGGAACTGATGGAGAGGGGATGATTGATCAGGGTCCCTAAGGAGACAAGGGGCTGAGATAGAGCACAAATGGGGAATTCATTCTTAAATAGGAAGGTCATCTTGTCTCTAGGGAGTGAGGGATGGAGATAAAGGTTGAAGAAGTGCATTTTGTATTAGGATTGGAACTGACACCTGAAGAAGAGAGATTATTAATTACAGATGAAGTTTAAAGTTTGAAGAATCAGATGAGGGTTTATTATAACAGCTTACAGTAATGCTACAAAGAATTGGTCAAGGACAAGTGAAATCATTGACAGGCCAGGTTACAAGGTGGATACCATAAATTTGGGTGTATAATTTTTCACCTGGAACTATCGGTTCCTATCATGTCCATAGTCACTTCACTATTTACAAAGCAGAAGGTGGTATTCACTTCTGTCTTTCTACCTGTGTTCTGTTCTCAGTATAATTATCCATGGCAGTAAATCTCAAGGTTCCCAGACTGTAAAGATCCACCTTTGATATCTCCAGACTCTTTTTGGTCAATTAGTGTAGGTAATACTAGTAAGTGTTTGCCCCTAGGATGAAGAAGGTGTTTTGGGACAGTATGTTTCCATGTGCTAATGTCATATCAAGGGAACCTCTAACCATGCATTCTACCACAACTAGCTTTGCAGTCCTTAGGTCTTAATTTTAGATTTGTTACCTCTCTTAGTCCTACTCTTCTGCCTGTTCTTGCCTAAGCCCTTTCTTTTTGATCTCAGGATCTTGGGTATGTTTACATCCCAACAATGGAAACATCTGAGCAACGATTTCTTGAAGACCCAGCAGGAAAAGAGGCACAGTTGGTTCAAGGCAAGTGGTACCATCAAGAAGTTCCGAGCTGGCCTCAGCATCTTCTCACCCATCCCCAAGTAAGTAGTTCCCTAGAATCGATATCATATACAGATACTCATCTTGTCACCTTCTTGAATACCTAAATTAATTCTGTCTTTTCCCTGTGTCCTCTTAAATTCTGTACTTAACACTCACATAGTCCTGGTCCCCTTTGTATCCTTACCCTTCTATTGTTTGTAACTCATCTCTTATCTAGAATACAATACCCAATTCATGGTCTGTGTTTGGAGACATGTATGCTATTTTTTCATCTTTTTAAAAATAACTATTATTTTTATTTTATGTGTATTTTTATTTTATGCTTGCATGTACTTAAGTGCACCCATGTCATACAGTGCCCACGGAGGTCAGAAGAGGGCATCAGATCCCATGGAACTGGAGTTACGCATGGTTGTTAGCCACCATGTGGGTGCTGGGAATTGAACCTGGGTCCCCTGCAAGAGCAGTCAGTGCTTGTAATCGCTGAGCCATCTCTCTAGCCCCTATTTTTCCATCTTATCAGATTTCATCCTTATTCCTTGTCATAAAGAGGCAGAGGAATAGACACTAACTCTTTGCTCTCATGCAAGGATATATTGATTATCTAGGTTCAGGAAATAAATATTGCTCCATTACTGATCCTAGTTCTACTTTTTTTTTTTTTGGTCTTTTTGAGACAAGGTCTCCCTGTAGCCCCAGCTGTCCTGGAACTCACTATGTAAACCAGGCTGGCCTTGAACTCACAGAGATCCGCCTGCCTCTGCCTCCGGAGTGCTGGGATTAAAGGCGTGCGCCACCATGCCCAGCTTAGTTCTACATTTTTACTCCTTAGTGCCTTTTGATCTTCCAAAAGGCAGACACAAAGCTAGATTTGTACTGTTCAAGGCACCACTATTGATGATTGCAAAGTCACCATTAGGCAAGATTTAGGATGCAACTGCTTCTTGCCTAGCATAATGTTGAACACAGAATTTCTTTCTCTCACAACAAAAAAATGACTGTATCTTCTTCAAGGGATCCTTCTGTACCCAGTCTCGATGCTATAATGACTGAGGCTCTGTCTCTGCCTCCCTTCCATGTCCCAGTCTGAACAATGTACACAAAATGATATAAAAATCAATTATGGGGGCTGGAGAGATGGCTCAGTGGTTAAGAACACTGACTGTTCTTGCAGAAGACCAGGGTTGAAATCCCAGCACCCACATGGCAGCTAAAAACTGTCCATAACTCCAGTTCTAGGGGATCCAACGGCCTCTTCTGACCTCTGTGGGCATTGCACGACACGGGTGCACTTACCTTTATGCAGGCAAAACACGTGTACACATAAAATAAAAATAATAAAATATTTTTAAAAATCAGTTATGTGATTTACTCTTTTGGGGGGAGGGTGCAGGGGAGATATTGTTTAAGATACAATAGAATATCCATCAGATTTGTGTTCTTTGATCTATGATGTTCTGATCTCTAATTCTTTTCTAGAGCTCATAATGAATTCCCAATTTTATTACTTTTTTTTAACTCTTTCTCACCAGGTCTCCCAGTTTCCCTATCATACAAGACTCCATGCTGAAAGGCAAACTGGGTGTACCAGAGCTTCGAGTTGGGCGCCTTATGAACCGTTCCATTTCTTGCACTATGAAGAACCCCAAAGTAGAGGTGTTTGGCTATCCTCCCAGTCCCCAGGCAGGTCTCCTGTGCCCCCAGCACGTGGGCCTCCCTCCCCAAGCACGGACCTCTCCTTTGGTACATGGGCTGGGGATGGTTTGACTTGGGCATGAAAAGGATGGGGGCAGGAAGGGTTGGAAATGTAGGGAAATAACTTCAAAATGTGGTGTGGGTGTAGCTCTCCAGTCAAACTTGGACATATACCATGAATGTATAGAACAGGACAGCTTTAGTTATTAAAAGCTTATATCTAAAATGACATATTTGTCTGGTAGTAGAGAGCATAAAGCAAAGCCTGGAGATGGGCATCCTGTATGAGTCTATTAGGTGATGGTTAGTACTTGGTAATCAGCTGCCATACCACCCTATTCCAGCCTCTTGGAAGAGGGTTAAGGGTAGGTGAACACTTTTCTAGACCACCTGGTGAAAATGTCTACAGACGTGTCCAGCTTTGGGCATACTTAAGTTGATCTGAGCTAGGGCTTAACTGTTTGAAGAGAATTGTGGGTGGTGGGTACGAGTGAGGCATGTTTGGGACACACTTAACAGGAAACCCATGGGGTCTATCTTGTACTTTTACCAGGTCAGTGGGCATTGCAAGAACATCCCCACTCTGGAGTATGGATTCCTTGTCCAGGTAATCAAGACCAGAGTTTTCCTCCAAAGCACCTCCCTATTGCTTATCCATCTGACTACCTAAGAGCTCCCTGCTCCTGAGCCAGTTATTTCCTGAGTTGACTTGCTCCCAGAAGTATATTAAGTGTTGAGTAGATAGACAGTATAGATCCCACCCTCAAGAAGATCATAGCATTATTAAAAACACGAGCCACCTAGGAGCAGGTGCAAATAAGGAATTACCTATTTTTTTTTAATTATTTAATAACCACATGATTAGAAGCATTTCATTACAGCATTAATATTCAATAACAATTTCCAGAGCAAAGATGCATCTCTTTCAAAATTGGCTGTAAATTTTTAGGTTCACAGTTGAATTAATACCATTATAAAATTTTGAACTCAGTATAAACCCTCTAAGACATAAAATTGAATGAGGTTTTAACCTTTAAGAAAGATCTCCATTTCATTTGAAGATATACTGTTTCATATAGAAAAACTCATTT